TCTCTCTCTCTCTCTCTCTCTCTCTCTCTCTCTCTCTCTCTCTCTCTATGTGACAAACAACATTTCTGATGCACTTGTGGTTCTTATTCCACTTTGATGCATGTGGGAAAAAAGGGTGATGGCTCCAAGGCGAAAATACGAGGATCTGTGCAGGTCTTTGAAACCCGCGGGAAAGAAGGACAAGTGTCGGAAGAAATCGGGGGCTGAGAAGAGGGAGTCGAAAGAGCATCGCAGAAGCGGTGCCGGCCTCTCCGCGAAAATGGTGCAAAGGCGCAGGCGTAAATCCTCGTCGAAAGTTACAGTCCCTTCGAGTGAGCGGGACATTTCAACGCTGAAAGAACGTAACGAGTCGCCCCCCTCGACCCCTGTCGAGGGAAAGCGCGGAAGAGGCGCCGAGAACCGTCCGCCGAGGGCCCCAGAAAAAAAATCGCGGGATGATAGAACCGCGACTACTCACCGGAGTTCAAAGAAGAGAATATCCTACAAAGACGAGAGACCAATGGAGACAATCGATCTTGGAGGGTCTGACGACAGGCACAGCACACCCCAAGCGGAAGAAGAGGAGGAACACGACCGTTCCACGCCAGAGAAGTCAGACGGTGCGGAGGATGAGGAAGGGGGAAACGAGGGAGACGACAGCGGTCCTTCCCGCGGGCAGTCGCAAGACACCGACGAGGACGACAACAACGACAGCAAATCGGCCAGCCAGAGTACCGGCGAAGACCGGAGCGCCGCTTCGGAAGGAGATGATTCGCCATCTCCTTCGAGGACGCTGCGCAGCGAAGGAGAACGGCAGGCACGCAATGGCAGCGACACCGAGGAGCCTGTCGGTGACAGACAAATCGTGCAGCACGTGAGCGCCACTAGAAAAGGTAAAAAACCCGCGTCGCACTCGTTCCCCTCCCACTCACGAGCAGCTAATCCCGTGCCCCCACGGCGCGCAAGCCTTCACGCACGGAAAAGGGTTTTAGTGAACGCACTGTTGATAGCCGAATCTTCTAATTACCAAGTGTTGTATTCAGAACAAGGCGCCGAGTTGCTAACACTATCTTGTGCGTTGTGTCTTGTGTTTTCCTGCCCATCGCAACGTCAGCAACGAAAGCGCGCGCAAGGGGCATAGCCGCGCAAGGACCCAACGAGGAGGGCGCTGTATTAGCGATGAAAATGAAGGGCAAGCTGTTGCGTTCCGTCGCCAAAGCCTTTGCGTTCTCTTCGGCGAACGACGCAACTCTGTACCCTACAGAGGACACGTTTTTCGCGGCGGTGCAAGCGACGGCCAAACTGGCAGGGGGGACAGCAGAGATAGGGCTGCGGTCTCACATTGCAGAGCGCGGGATTCGAGCTGTCATAGGGGAATGCAACAGAATTATGACGACGATCCGCGGAGAGATTACCTGGCAGCTGAAGCATTGGTTCTGAGCAGAAAAAGGGATTCCGCTGGTCGGATCGCAGCAATCGGACCACCACCTCCCCGCTAGCCACAAGATGCGCGCCGAGATGAAAGAGAACAAGACATGGAGACGGAGCGGCGATGATCCGTGGGGCGCCCCCGCCTTCAAGACGACACTCTTAAAAGTTTTCCAGATGAGGAAGGAAGGACGAAACCTCGGCGTCACCCTGCAGCAACTCGCTTTCGCGGAGATGGTCATTCAATGTGAGATAGAACAGACAACGAAGACGACACGAGCTGCGGAGCAGATAGAAAAATTGGTATCTATAAAGCAGGCAATCGTCTCATCTCTACGAGCGCGCGACACGGTAATGAGTTTTTCCGTCTTCAAGCTGGACAAATTCGTATCTGTGGCTGAGAAGGCAGCAACCCTCTTTCGCTGTGGCACGCCGTCTGTCGACAGGCCTGGCCTCCCAAGCACTACAATAACGGATGACGATTACGACGTCGAATACATTCTCCCTCAGAGTACACCAGCCGGCGACGGGGGGGCGCGCACCCTGAAAATTTAGGGACAGTTTTGCTACATTTCGACATGGAAGGGAGGATGCTGGGCAATGACCAAACGGTGGAACGGAAGATTCTTTTTGTAGACGTTTCGAATCAGGAGATGCAAAATGGAAGGGGACAGTCGGGGAGAGAGAGAGAGAGAGAGAGAGAGAGAGAGAGAGAGAGAGAGAGAGAGAGAGAGAGA